CTATTCCGATAATTTAATCTAAAGGAATTTACATTACATATTTTCAACAATATCAAATTTTTATTAGTGGGCTCATAGTTATTGAATTTTTTGAAACATATGTTCATATTAAGATACATAATCTGTGTTAATCAAATATTTATACTATAAGTTAATAGAGTTTATACTATAAGTTGTAGAGTAACGAATCTGTTTTTTAAATCTCAATTGGATTTTTATGAAAAGTTAATTTTTTATCCTAATAAATAGAAATTAAAAGATACAAATAGATTATTTTTAAAAAAATTTCCTATTATATACTTCTATTATTTACCTTATATTTTCTGATATTATATTATGATAATTTATATCATATGATGATTTATTATGATAAATTATATCTTTTAATTTTTTTCATTTTTCATTTTTGTCCTGAATATTTTTTTCATAAAAATAATGGAGACATTTAAGTTTTCCCATTTAAATATCTCAGTCTATTGCATTCATAAAAATATTAATAAAAATACTAATTTTAGAATTACCAGAGATTACAACAAGCATTAGATAAATACAAAGAAAAAGTAATAAACGTATCAAAGGATATGATTGAAATAAAATTAAGTAAAAAAAATCGTTAATAGTAAGTAAAACATTTATACTAGTAAAAATTATGTGAAAATTGTTTGATAATATATTTTGTTTTTCTATTATAAGAATATACAGAATATAAAAATCAGTATGTGCATGCATGTGTAACTGTTTGCATTGATGGCAGTAATCCTTTTATTAATCTTGGTCTGTAAAATTTTGAACATATTAGAAAAGATAAAATATTACATTTTGTATTTTGTAAGAAGAAATGTTAGAAAATATCAAGCGTAAATTGGAGCATGATTAATTGATACCAGTACTGTAAATATAATAATCACACCAAGAATTGATGTGACAATCGCGGCAATCATTTGTGGACATCTTTTGAACAAAACCTGAAACAATCGTAAGATTAAATTAATCATCATTTCTAAATATAATTAATTATTTTATTGAAAAGTTATGAAGAAAATGTTACCATTAAAAGAACTATCAAAGCAAGAATAAAAATTGTTCCAATGGGTAAAAGAAAAGATGCTGCCCAATAATGTTTTTGTATTTCGGGATCTAAAAACAAGTATTGATAGTTTATGGTAAGAAAATTATGAAATAGAAACAAATTTTATAAGACTGCATAAAGATACAATACCAGAAATTAATAATCTTTATCTTATCTAAAGATATCTTACCATTACGCCAATGCGTTTTATATATTTCATAGGGAGACACGCGAATTCTCCTTACAATACTTTTATTTGTTATAACTACAGAATCAAGGAAACTTCGCATGTCTACAGATTGCACTCCATTTGCGATCCAATCTCCTACAATGTATATATTTATCACAATAAGTTTCTGATAATTATTTCATTATGTACTTTAAACTTTAATTGTATTGTATTTGGAAAATAAGTTTAAATTTATACAATTTCAATTAATATCATTATTTTCAGTTACTAAAAAATCATTATTTATAGCATAAAGTAAAACTGCCAACATAATTATTATGTATTTTAATTTTTATTAGAATATACTTTAACAAAATTTACTTTAACAAAAAATGTTAACATAAACTTTCTATAAAAATGACTTCTATATATTTATAAGAATAATTTTATTCTATTTATTATTCTAACAATTTCTATTTCTATATTAATATTTTTATTTAATTTGTTATCATTTCATGATTTTAATAAGTTATTAAGAAGTAAATAGTAAATAATAGTTTATAATAATTATTATTATAATTATATCTATAATCTATCGTAAAATAAAATGTTTTTATATGATTTATAATGGAAATGTATTTAACATGTTAAAAATAATGTAGTTAAATTTTTTAAACTGGTGTTTTTATATATACCATTGTATTTTAATTATTAAATTTCTTGTTAATTTTTTCTTTTAATTTTTTGTTATCAAATATTTAAAAAAGCATTAATTTATAGACAATTTTATATTAATCCTGTATGTGTTAAATCTTATATTTGATTTTTTGTACACAATGTTTAAATTTTTAATAACTAAATTTATCATCTTATAAATTAATACATACAAGAAAATTTGTTAACAATACTTACCCCAAATCATAAACATTGTAGCATGTTAAATACAATAGTTCAATGACCCAATATATTTTTTAATTTCTTTTGTAAAATTCTTAAATTTACTTTTTTTATTTTCAGTAAAAATTTTTATTTTTATTTTACCTAAGAAAATTGTATGTATTTCATTTATTATTTATAAATTGTCATAAATTGAGAAAATAAATTAATAATTCCAATAAAATAATAATAATATTTGATAAAAATTGATAAAAAAATACAAAATAAAAATAAATTGATAAAAAATACAAAATAAAAAATTGATAAGTTTACATAATAAAATTTTTACAAAATTTAATATAAATATAAAATTTTAAATAAATCATATAAAACAATTATATTATTAATATAAAATAAAGATACACGTTACAATATGTGCGAAACGTGTGCATAAAATTATCTCGAAAGTTCATAGATAATGCATATATAAGGTGTTTAAACAATAATTCCATTTTAATTATTTCATATAAACAGTATGCAATACATGTGTAAAAAATAAAGATATCCATAAATTACATATTCATAAAAAAAATATAGAATATTTTAAAATTATAAGAAATAAATATATATTTTTTTTAACCACCCTATATAAATGTATAAATACAAACTAGCACGTTGTATGCTTAGTAGCATGGCGGCTTTAAAAAAAACCGGTTGATTTGTTGATATTTTATATATAAATCTCAATTTTTAAGGAAAAATCCTAAAAATGATAAAGATATCGGCATTAAACGAAGAATCTAGTGAAGAAAGTGAAGAAGAAGATGTACCAACTATTACAAAAGAAGCTCAAGTATGTATCGAAATTATTAACTTTTTACTAATTATAAAACTTAACCTATAAACTTGTCATTTATGAAAATTTGATTTTTATATAATAAAAATTTTATATAAAATAATATGAAACATCATATTATAGGAAATCATATTTTTATTGATATCTATTTATAATAATTTAATATTTTATATTTGATTATCTTTTATTTCGCATCTTTTATTTTAAATTATATATTATAAATTATTTATATTCAAAGAATATGTTATTTAATTGGATATATGATGCGCATATTCAATTCATTTAATTTATTATTACTTTTTTTTTTAATTTTTGCTTTTTATACAGAAAAATTAAAATTTATTATTCATTATTACTGACATATGCTTCATTAAAATATAAAAAATTTATTTCATACATGTCTGTTTCAGGAACAAATAGCTTTTACTGAATATAATAAAGCTTTAGTATTGTTAAAAGAAAATAAACAGGAAGATGCACTTAATATTTTTAAAGATCTTTTAGAAACTGAATTATTGGATGAAGTTCAAAAACCTGAAATACCTGATGGTAAATCTAGACCAATGTTGTCATTAAAATATTCTTGTTTTAAAAATATTGGAGCTATACAGGCCATATTAGGAAATTATGATGAAGCTATAGAAAATTATTGGGAAGCAGCTAATTTAGATGATTCAGATGTAACACTATGGTATAGAATAGGCACTTTAGCTTTGAAAATTTCAAATTTAGAATTAGCATGTTCATCATTTAAGCAAGGTTTAAAATGTAATGCAAATCATTGGCCATGTTTAGATAATATGATAACTGCCTTATATGCAGTTCCTGATTATATGAATTGTCTTTTATATATTTCTATGGCATTAGAACGTGATCCTACTTATGTGAAAGGTTTAGCTTTTCGTGATAGAATATTTAAAGACATTCCATGCCTTGAAGAATGCTATAAATTATATAATAGTGATTGGCAATTAGATCCACCATTATATACTCAATATGATCATTTAATAGGAGATAAATTAATAGCAGAAGCAAAAGATATTGCCAAAAAATGGGCAGAAGCTTGTAAAAAAGAATTCTGTCCTAAACCATTGCCAGATTTGACATTAAGGAAACCTATAAAAAATTATACTTGGTTAGATTTAGGAGAATGTTTATTAGATATGCACAGATACATTGCAGAAAATAACTTAAGTTTTGTTAGTAGAATTAATTTAATTGTTCAAAATTCTGAAGACATACCTAAAACATATATTGAGACAGAAAATGATGCTAACACCGATCAAGAAATATTACAAAGTGCCATGATAAAAAATGAAAATGATATTGAAAAATCAATGAAGATGGAAACAGATGAAACAAATTCTCCATTTGAAACATCTGATGACAATCAAGCATGTGCTGGTACTGAATCTCTAATGGAAATTGAAATAGAAGATGACAAAAAATCATGTTCCACTGATGTACAAATAATAGAAGATGAAGATCCTTTAAGAATTTTAGATACAGATGCTGTACAGTTTGAAGAACAAAGTCAAGTAAAAAATGATTTAGATGAACAAAATAACTTTGAAGCACATGAAAGTGAAGATAAATTACAATTAGATAAAATAATAGATGATGCTGATAATGAAGCACAAAATGATAATATTAGTGATAAAGATAGTAACAAATCCAATGATGAAAAAAATTCAAAAAAAGAAGACAAATCACAGTGTAAGACAGAAGAAAAATTATCTGAGAAAATTGAAGGAAAAGAAGAAGTACAAAAGGTAAAGAAGAGAAGGAGAAGTGCTTTATGTTTTCTACAACAATGGGCTTGGAGTTGTAATAGCATGAGACGTTCAGCAAGAGTTAGAAGTTCAAATAGAAGAGAAGCTGAAAGAGATGATGTTCAATTAGAAGAAACTCTTAGAAGAATATTTCCTAGCACATTATTGTATGTAAAAATATATTTATATAATCTATAATATTCTTGTTATACATAAATCATATTTAATATTTTAGACCAGATACTGTAAAATTAACTAAAGATGATCCTTCTAAAAATATGGATGATTCTATGGATACAATGGATTTATATCAATTGTTTGCTAATCAAGAAAATAATAGCAATATTATAGAAACAGTTAAAAGTTCTGAGAGTTCGAAATCACCGAGTCCTGATATGAGGTACTTATTTAAAATAAAATATGTAAAAAAAATGATAATAATTTGATAATAACTTTTTTTCATTTATAGTCAACAACAAAATTATTTCGGCACAGAATGTGAAATAGCTGATGTAAATATATTTATTAATGAACACAGTAATAAGAATAACTTAATGATAATTATAGCAAAATATACAGAATTTTTATGTACTAAATGGAATCAAGAATGGTCTAAAGGAATATTAGATATATATTTGCAAGCATATACATTTATGAGGTATATCAAATAAATATATTTTTCTATATAAATACAATATCAATCATAAATTTTATTTCCTCTTTTATGCAGAGAACACATTCCTCATCCATCACCATTTGAACAAGATATAAATGATGATGTTTTAAAATTAGATGCTGAAATGACTTTATTATTTGGTGAACTTCACACAGATAAATGGTTAAGCAATAAACCAGATATATTACCTTCTTCAACGTATGTTTTATTTTTTTTTTTTTTTTTTTTTTTTTTTTTTTTTTT